GACCCACTCGGTTCGGCGCCGAAGTTTCGAATCGGGCCCCAATTTGACCGCCGTCGACGAGCCTCGACTCAACTCAAAGGCTGAATCTAGGCTCACTACCACTGATTAGTGGCCAGTGGGGCCTCAGGATCCTTATCGATGGACAAAAGCGATATTGGGTTGCTTGTGTTTGCAAATCAAACTATCTGGCAAGCTTGAAATCTTCTAGAGGTGCAACGGATTGTTCAAACTTCCTTGTTCTTGATGACGACTTTGTTCCGTACACGCTCGTCATCGCGCTGATTTGCGTAGCCGCCCACGACTATAATCATACAAAACAAGACGTCGACGTCAACGATTGTCATTGCGGTGATCGGCGCTACGGTTGGCATGTGCATCCTTCTCACACTGTCTGTGTGAGGCTAGGCTTCGGCTTATTGTGGCACCGCAGGTACTATACTAATCATCTTTGATTAATTGCTTTATTGGTGCCAGTCGAAAACATTCACTTTCCCCATATTATTTCCGTGAAAGGGCCCAGAAAAGGCTGAAAACCGCACTCTGCAAATTGATCCGAGTTTTCTAACAAGCGTGCTGAACCAGTCGAAAATAATAATCGTGTTTGACCAGTATAACCGTCGAGAGTGAACGCTGGTACGGTGGTGGCATTTGGCCCTAGTAATTCCTAGTTCAAAATGCAAAACCGAATCCTCGATCCACTTGCTCCGCATGCCCCTTTCACTTTAAATCATCCATAATTGCTAATCCGTCCTAGTCTGGCGAGCTTACTGGTTTTGACGCCTCGTACCGTCGAAATTTCGCTATATGAATTAAATTGACTTAGCTAGATTGATTAGCGGCTAGCTAGACGAGAATAATTTGTGAGGGACATACATGCTGCCAGGCTTGTATAGTCTTTATCCCTTTGATACAAAGATACAAACATATGCCCTTCTTGAAATCGCCTATCGTTCAATCTCCACGGTGCTATGTGTGCCAAATTGCTCGGAATATTGCGACTCTGTTCACCAACTAGTCCAATGGGCTCGGCACTTGCCGTTGCCACCCACGTTGGCCTCCTTTTCCCGGGACTCGGAAAGTGTTTCGGGACCCAAACGCTTGAAGACTTGGTGAGTCCATTCCGAATTTGCACAAATATTTTGGGTACTCGGGACTCAGAAACGTGTAGCTTCGGATGGTATGATATATCTGCTGCTTGACGCTCTAAATGATATGACGCAAAATTGGCAAGGGCGGAGAGCTGGCACTACAGAATGTCAAATTTTGGATCTCAGTCGAAGCGCACTTCTCTACGAAACAGATTTTATGCAACCCATACTTGAACATGAGTGTTCCGAATTGGAGGAGGCTCGCTTCTCAACCTAATAATCAATGATCGCTCATGATTCGTTTGAGAAAGTACTAATGGGGCCCGAATATATACAGTTTCTTCAGTTTCATCATTATTTTGCTTATATACACAGGGGTATATAAGTATACGTCATCCTCTATAACCTATATATATACCGTGTGCCCCCTATACCCCTGTTTCGCGGCCCTCATCTTCTTCATTTCCCCTTGGGCCCCGGACCCCTATACCCCTGTTTCGCGGCCCTCATCTTCTTCATTTCTGGTTATAGGCCCGGGCCCCTCTACCCCTGTTTCGCTGTCCTCATCTTCTTCATTTCTGGTTATAGGCCCTGGCCCCTATACCCCTGTTTCACCGCCCTCATCTTCTTCATTTCCCCTTGGGGCCCGGGCCCCTATACCCCTGTTTCGCGGCGCTCATCTTCTTCATTTCCCCTTGGGGCCCGGGCCCCCTATACCCTTGTTTCGCAATGCCCATCTTCTTCATTTCCCCTTAGGGCCCGGGCCCCCTATACCCCTTTTCGCAACGCTCATCTTCTTCATCCTACCTTAGGCCTATCCGAGCCCTCTATACCCCTATTTCTTTTCGTTCATCTTCTTCATTCGACATAGAATGAAGAAGATGAGCGGAATGAATCAGGGTATAAGGCCCCAGAATCAGCCATTTCCCCCTTCCCCCTATACCCCTATTTCTTTTCGTTCATCTTCAATCTTCATTCTATGTAGTCGGAATGAAGAAGATGAGCGAAATGAATCAGGGTATAAGGCCCCAGAATCAGCCCTTCCCCCCTTCCCCCTGTACCCCTGTTTCTTTTCGTTCATCTTCTTCATTCTACATAAATGAAGAAGATGAGCGAAATGGATCAAGGTATACTAGAGGCTTCAATAAATAAAATGATGAAGATGAGCGTTGTGAAATAAGGGTATGGGGAAATTATGGATCTTGGTTATACTAACATACTTATGGTAACCCTTGGTTTCATAATGAATATTATTTTATTTTTACTTTTTCCTTCTTATTCATCGTGAAAATAGCATAATTCATTCCGGGGATAAAATGATGATGAAAATGAAAATGAATCCTGATCTTGTAATCGTTCACCCTCCATTAGTAGTTCCTCTTTGAATTGACAAGAATACTGAGAAAGCACTCCTTCAGCCGTCAATCAATTGTTGAGGGCAAGCTCTGTTTTGTATTACTTAATTACTTCCTCTTCCAAGATGTATGCTGCAATGTGCATCAGAGAGCGGAGTGCTCTGGGGTATCCCCCACTGCTTATGAAGAATTCAGCTGACAAATCAAAGAAGATATCGGCATGACAGAAATAGAGGTTTTAATTGATTCTGTACGCAGTGATAGCTTCTTTGCACACAAACAAGTTCTGCAAAGGAAGGAACATCATAAAGATCATCATCATTAACGACCACCAAGAAAGATGCGGCAGACCGTTGAATTTCAACACGAAACTTTGGCTGCTTACCAACCTCCATGAATAGACCCAGTTCAACCTAACAACATTCAGAGGCTGGGTGTCACCACGATGCTTTTGTCTGCTTGTGTGTGACGATTGGCCAGCTTAAGCGAAGCGCTGGCAGGATAACTACACACTCATATGGCAGCCATGTGCGGAAACCATGGTTGCAGGCATTCTCGGATGGAGGCGCTTGCTCTGTAAAAATGTTGTCTTTCTGCTCAAGACAGCTCTGCT